TCGTAGCTGCACAGACGAAGTGGTCCCTGTTCCCAGCGAGCGCCGGAAGGCCTGCATCGGAAGGTCACCTGGACGGTCTGGCAGAACAGAGTGCAGGCAGCTGTGGGAACCTGCAGCTTGCTGGGTCGGCGAGAGACGGGGCCGCCCCTGCTGGGGGTCCCGGCCACTTCGCGGACCTTAGCAGCGAGGCCCAAGGCATGGGTCAGGCTGTGGCGTGGTGTGTTCTGCTCCACGGGTGAGGTGACAGAGGCCCAAGGGAGGAGGAGGACGCTCAGACGAGCCCCGCTGGCTCTGGAGCCCACTCTGCCGCCTCTCCCTGTCCCTCCAGGCCCGGGTTCCTGCCTCCCACTCCCAGGCTGGGATCCTGTCACTGCTGTGGGAGGGACAGCGGTGCCAACGGCTGTGCTGTTACACAAGACCTTTTCCCTCAAGTTAACCAGTCAGAACGCACGTCAGTTGAATGCAACTCTGTGTATATGGTGACGCTTCTAGACTTTCTGCATTTGGCAACGGCTGTTGTGGGGAAGAGTGTGTGTGTGTGGGGGGGTCCCTGCCTCGAGGGACAGCTGTCTGGTGACCCATGCGAATTCCCTAACAGGGTGTCAGAACCGAGTCCAGTGAAACCCCAGCCTCTACCATTCTTCCCAGCTTCATTCAGAGAGACAGACCAGAATTCTACTATGCTTATTGTAAAAACTAAATGTATTGGGGTGACACTGATTACTAAAATTACATAGGTTTCAAGTGCACAGTTCTATGATACGTGATCAGCACACTGCATTGTATGCCCAGCACCCAAAGTCAACTCTCCTCTCATTGCCGTGTATTTGACCCCTTGACTCCCCCGTCCCCCGTCCCTCTGGTCACCCCCACACTGTGGTCTGTGTCTGTGAGTTTTTGGTTCTCCAAATGAGAAGCTCTGTGATTATCTTATGATCTGCACTAATGTATTTTTTTTTGGCTGGGGGTTATGAATGAGTCGTATTTTGCAGATTGGTTGAAGAATAGTAATTATCTTTAAAAAGGCTGAATTGACTGATATTCTTCTCACCTGCGAGAAGGACCCTGTGAAAGCACATTTCTATGTGGAGAGAAGGGGGAGGTTCCAAGCGGCAACCTGGTTGCTGTTTTATTTTGGATGCCTAAGAAGAATGACTATTAAATAGAGTCACATCTGTGAAGGGGAAGCTTCACCTTGGACTTCCCGCTGACCCTGCTGCTTTGCCCATCCCCCCATGTGGGTACGTCTTGGAACTGCGGTGGAAGCAAATGAGGAGGAAGAGGCTGTTGGGCGGGGCAGCGGCAGGAATTAAAGGTAGAAAGCTCACTCGCTAGCTCCTTCAGACACGACGCAGGGTGGCGTCACCGCTGTAAGGGCTTGTCCCCTCTGCCCGAGTTCGTGGTGCAGCCCTAACCTGTGGTTGGTTCTTGGAGCCTCGAATGCTGGCGTGACTCTTACTGAATTGAAGTTGTCACTGCTGCATTGAAATTGTCCTTTACTGCGGAAGCCCTGAATAGGCATGTTGCGTCTTGTGATTGTCATTTAAGTGAATGTATCATGTTTTAAAATTAAAAATGGCTATCTTTTCCTGGAGCTATGAAGCCCGTCACAAAATTAATGGCTACTGAGTGAGATAGGCATTTCCATTAACTTCTGTGGATATTGGTCAGATAAGCTCTGAGATGGATGATCGTATTCTGAAATCTTCATTAGGCGAGTTCTTTGCTGCTCTGGGTAACTCAGCGAGGGGTTTCCAGCCCCCGGAAAGCGCGGCTGCTGCCGTGATCTAACGGGAGGCCTCTCTCGGGAGGGTCGACGTCGGATTTTGTCTGCCTTTGCTGCACCGAGGGTATTATTGTGTGAAGTGCGTTCAGGGTTCTCAGTCAGATATAACTTTCCTCCATCACTTTGTCTCTTCCACGGCATGTCTAATGTGTCTCGTGTTTAAAGGTACAAAGTCATCGGTTTGTGGGAAAAGAAGCTAAAACAGCCCTGACCGCAGACTCCCCTTCTGCCAACAGAAAACGAGTGATAACTGCATAGCGGTTGGATGCATGTTTCTGCAGTTGTTCACGGGGTCGTGCCTGTGTGTGCGCGTGCAAACAGACATGCCTGCAGGCACGCGCACCTACACGCATTCCTCTTCCTCCCTGCTCGCCCCTTCCCCACCCTCTGGGCTCCTCTCCTTTTTTAAAAAAATATATTTTATTGATTATGCCCTTACAGTTCTATTTCCCCCTTCATTCCCCTCCACCCTGCACACCCCCTTCCTCACCATTTCCCCCTTTAGTTCATGACCACGTGACTCAAGTTCTTTAGATTCTATATTTCCCCTACTATTCCTGCCCTCCCCCATCTATTTTCTACCTACCGTCTATGCTACTTATTCTCTGTACCTTCTCCCCCCTTCTCTTCCCACTCCCCTGTTGCTAACCCCCCATGTGATCTTCATTTCTATGGTTCTGCTCCTGATCTAGCTGTCCTCTTAGTTTGCTTTTGTTTTAGGTGTGGTTGTTAATAACTGTGAGTTTGCTGTCCTTTCACTGTTCATCTTTTTTATCTTCTTTTTCTTAGGTAAGTCCCTTTAACATTTCATATAATAAGGGCTTGGTGATGATGAACTCCTTGAATTTGACCTTATCTGAGAAGCATTTTATCTGCCCTTGCATTCTAAATGAAAGCTTTGCTGGATAGAGCAATCTTGGTTGTAGGTCTTTGGATTTCATGACTTGGAATACTTCTTTCCAGCCCCTTCTTGCCTGTAGGGTCTCTTGAGAAATCTGCTGACAGTCTGATGGGGACTCCTTTGTAGGTGACTGTCCCCTCACCTCTTGCTGCTTCTAGGATTCTCTCCTTCATTTTAATCTTGGCTAATATAATGATGTTGTGTCTTGGTGTGTTCCTTCTTGGGTCCAAGTTTTTTGGGACTCTCTGAGCTTCCTGGATTTCCTGGAAGTCTATTTTCTTTGCCAGCTTGGGGAAATTCTCCTTTATTATTGTTCAAATAAGTTTTCCACTCATGGCTGTTCTTCTTCCCCTTCTGGTACCCCTATAATTCGGATGTTGGAACGTTTAAAGATGTCCTGGAGGTTCCTAAGCCTTTCCTCAGTTTTTTGAATTCTTGTTTCTTCATCCTTTTCTGTTTGGTCATTTTTTTTTCCTCTTTCTGGTCCACTCCCTTGATTTGAGTCCCAGTTTCCTTTCCATTGCTATTGGTTTCCTGTGCATTGCCCTTCATTTCAATTAGTTTAGCCTTCATATGTTCCTCTAATTTGTGACTAAAATCAACCAGTTCTGTGAGCATCCTGATCACCAGTGTTTTGAACTGTGCATCTGAAAGTTTGGCCATTTCTTCATCACTTAGATTTATCAGCTCTGGGGCTCTGAGTTGTTCTTGAGCCATGTTTTGATCTGTTCGTGCCTGTTACGTTTGAGGGTCGGAGCCATAGTTGTTCACGAGGGCGGGGCCACCCAGGTCGCTGGTTTATGACGCTGTATGTGGGGGCGGGGTCAGAGAGGGACAATGGCGGTCCCCTCTGCTGCTTCCTGCCACTGGGGCCTGCATGGTCTGTCTCACCGCTCGCTCCTTCTCGGGTTTATCTGCTCGAGAATGTGTGACCGCGGTCCGCCTGCCGACTTGCGCCCTCAGTGGGTCCGCCCGCTTCTCCACACCTGGGATCCGCCCACGGCTGCCTGGGCGCCTGGGTCGTGTGCCCTGGTCGGTCCGGTGGATCTTTCCTGCCCGACCCCGCTCTGCTGTTGGTTCTGCCCCTCTTACCGGTTTGGCTAAAGGGTTCATTGTTGTCAGACTTCCATGTAGTTCAATTTTCTGTGGTTTGGCTGCGTTTTTGTTGCTAAAAGTTTGTTGTTTTTAAACTTGGTTGTGAGAGAAGGTGCAGTGCTCCCACCCACGCCTCCATCTTGGCGGAAGTCTCCTGGGCTCCTCTCCTTAACAGGAGCGCCGTGATAGCGCCAGAGGAGAGAGGCCGCACCGTGTGCTGGGCCTGTGGCATTTCTCCCCCCGGGGGTGGGGTACGTGGTCCAGCACGTTGTCCTGTCCCCTTCGCCCTTCTCCCACTGCCGAGGTTCCATAAAGGCAGGCTGCGCTTGCTTCTCTGTGTCCCTAGCAGCCACCCCAGGACCCCACCCAGAACAAGCCCCCAGGTTTGTAAAAGCCCCAGGGGCCCTTCTGCCCCCTCCCCGTGTCCCCGGAGACTGGCCCTCGCTCTCCGCGGCTTTGGGCTCCAGTGGATGGTGAGTGCGAGCTTCCCTGGGCTTCTCTGTGCGGCCGTTCGGGGGAGACTTCTCCCGCAGTTCCGTGTCGTTTCAGCCCCATCTGACCTCAGTCTCCTGGAATTTTCTTTAAAGCGTCTGCATGGTGGTGGGACTTGCTCCTTCCCCTGCTGTCACTGGAACAAGATGTCGGTGTCCTGGTGACACCGTGATGAGGTCCAAGGGCCTCTGCTCCTCTCCCCTCTGGTTCCGGCCCAGCGTTTCGGAAGTGCTTTCAGCCACGTTTGCAGTTTCTTTGGTCTGTAACTTGGAAGTTCATTTTTCTTCCAGTTTTGCAGTAAGTATTCTCCAAAATGACACCCTGGACACCTTGGTGCTCGCAGTCTGACGCTGCCCCGTCACAAAGCACCTCCTCCTGGGCCTGCCGGCCTCGCGGCCTGGACAGCAGGGTCCAGCTGGTGACGCGGGTTCCCTTCAGAAGTAGGTGATGATCCTGATGTCACCGATGGGTCTGAATGTCACTGTCCCTGATACGTATTCGTGTGTTATTTGAAGGTGGCTGAATATTGTCCGGCTCCTTGGTCAGTGTCCAGATTAACTGGACATGTAGAAAAAGCAGTGGTAACTTTAAGGGGGCCTGGTCCTGGCGCCTCTGAAAATGCGGTCTTCATCACTGTTAGCAGCACGCGAGTGGCTCAGCGGCCTTGTCACTGGTGTGGAGACGTGTTTGCCATACAGCACCGTGTTTTTTCACCTGTGGCCGCAGGAAGGGGAGAATATTTTCTACCTGGCGGTGGAGGACATAGACCCGGACACCGAGCTGCTGGTCGGCTACCTGGACAGCGACATGGAGGCCGACGAGGACGAGCCGCCCGTCGCCACAGGGGCCCCGGACGGGGAAGGTAAACACACCCTGGGATCTGGGAGAGTGGGAGTGGGGGTGGGGGCCGCGCTGGGTGCAGCAGGGCCGCCTTGTCTGGGGTGTGCTCTGCACTGCTGTCCGGGTGAGGCCTCGTGCACGGCTTTCTTCCCGGGGGGTGGGGAGCGGGCTGGTGCATGGGGGTGGGAATGCGCCCTGCATCGTGGCCATGGCCCCAGGAAGCTCCCCGCTGTCCCTGTTCCTTGGGGCAACCAGGAGTGAGGACCCACACTCCAGCCCAGCACTGTGACCTGCCAAGTCACTGCCTGTCTGACACTCCCCTGCACACGGGGACAGAGGGCCGGAGGGGCTACTCCGGGGCCTCGCTCTCACTGGGGAGTCTTTGAAAACCCGAAGCTTCTGGATACCGCCCTTCGCTCTGACCATGGAGGCCTGCGGGGCTGCTGGGGTGCCCTGGTGGGGTAACCAACACCCTGAGGACCGTGGGTCGGACCCACCCTGATCCCTCTGCACCTGAACCCGCACCCGGGAGAGAGTACCTCTCGCTGTGTGTCAGCAGCAGGTGTCACGGGCCGATTCCCCTCTGCTGGGCTTTGCTCCTGGGGGGGCGGAGGCAGGGACCTGTGAGTGACCTTAAGGGGTCCTCCGGCCCTGTGATCATCTGGCACTCATTACAGGGCACCTCTCCACTGCGTTCTCGAGACCACTTCTGGGGTGACCCCGCCTCTGTAGTCTTCGACGGGAATTCTACAGGAATTCTCCCCGTCGTTGGCTGAGAACGTGGGTGTGTTCTCGGCTTGGCCGTCCGATGTTCGTGGCCTTATTTCGCTCGGAGAGTTACAGGGAAGCCACAGCCGGCTGGCTGCTCTGCTTTGCAGAGATGCATGATGCCGCCTGGAGTGTCAGAGGCTGAGTGACGGGAACTATTTTTGCATTGTTTCATGGTTTGTTTTTTGTCTTTGCATTTATTCTCTGCCTCCGTTGCCCCCAAGCATGTTGTTACTCGTGTCCCTTATTTAAATTTAAAATCTCCTACTGACATATTACTCCCCGTATTTTTCTTTTGTTAAAAAATATCCATTTTCATTTTTGTGTGTGTGTGTGTGTGTGTGAAAAGAATCAACAGAAAGTGGATTTTTAAAACATATGATTTAGGTACTTAGAATGCTGCTGGTTTTGTCTTAGACTTTGGAGTTTAGTTTAACCAAACCCAAACCGAAACAACCAAATCACCAGCAAAAGAAACAAAGAAAACCGCCCAGATGTCCAACAATGGAGAGTTTTGTTAACTCAGTTACGGTACCTTCGTTTAAGTGTTTCTCTCATCCTTCCATTTCAAATGGAACAAAAGAGCAGCAGGCAACACTGCGTGTAGAGCGTGACTGTGAGTGGGCTGCTCGTGAACACGTGGCGCGTGAGACACGGGTGTGCAGAGCGCACGCCTTCACCGTCACGGGATTGTGGGTCACGTTTATCTCCTCCACATTCTCTGTTTCCCAAATCTAATCTCGTGTGATCATCAGAAAAATATGTTATGGGAACACACACCCGGGCCCACTGGGCAGAGCCGTGTCTGAGGGTCCGACCAACCGGACCGCCTCCGCTGTGTCTGAGCCTGCTCTGTGGGGGTCACTCCCCGGAGAGGGGACGTCCCCCTTGGTGACTCGGCACAGTTTTTCTCGGCTGGATTTGTCTCTCTGTGCGGCTAACCGTGACCTCGAGACGACCCATTTCAGGGAAAACTTCTATTTTCCAATTCTGTAATTGTGGTATAATAGCTCTTGGATGTGAACAGTTAGTATCACGGGGAGAATTAAAAATTGTTGGACTTGTGATAATTTGGTAGAACCCAAGTGAAATGATTAAAAAAACAATGCATTTCTCTCTAGTAACACTTCCCATTATTTTTCGTGGATAAACTATTAATACTGGTAGAGACTGTAAGTCTCTTCAGTGCTGATGCCATTGAACAGAATTAATGGGACTTTAAAGTGAGGGGAAGCCGATCAGAGCTGGTGGCTTTCGTCCGATCGACCCTCCCCTTCCTCACGGCAGACGGCCTGGGCTGTGACGAGGACCACGCCTGTCCGCAGTGCGAATCCAGCTTCACCAGCGAGGAGGTCCTGGCCGAGCACCTCCTCAGCCTGCACCGCACGCCCGGCGAGGAGAAGGAGCCCAAGTGCCAGGGCTGCGGGAAGACGTTCCCGGTGAAGCAGGCCCTGCAGAGACAGTGCGTACCTGGAGGGCGGCCTCCCTCCCACTCGGGCCCCGACCTGCGTGTGTGTGAGTGCGTGTGTGCGTGTGTGCGAGGCAGAGACAGAGTGGGGAGGTCAAGTGTTCCAATGTCACTGCCATCGACTCGTCTTTTCTTCGTTCAGGAGGTTGACTTTGGAAACGTTCTGGTCGGGGATTGCACAAGCCAACAGTGCTAATGTGCATTCGTCCCTTTGCCACTTCTAACAGTGAATCATGGGATCACGCCTCTGGAACTAGATACGCAAAGTGTAGCGAGTGCTCTGAGGGCAGGTGTCGGCTGTCTGCAGCCACTTCCCGCTGAGAGCAGCCCAGGAAGAGTGTGGGGCTGGACGGGTGCAGAGCAGAGCGAGCGGGGCCGGCGTGGGAGGGGGGCGCGTTTGCGTCCTGGTGCCTTTGGAGGAGTCGTTTGGGGGAGTGTGCAAGGACATGAGCGCAACCCTTTACCACTTTATTCATCTATTAACAGCACATAAATTTATTCTTTTACTGAAGCAGCTTACGGTACCGTCAATTATTAAAAGTGAGAAAGTGGATACATATATTTGCAAACTTTTATTTTTAACAGAACGTCACTTTGCATACGAGCAAGAAATCTTTAACATAGACTTCATGTTTCGTTTTTTCTTAGTCATTAAAGTAAAATTCTGAGATTTGCCGCATTTGAAATATGCCACGTTTCACGAGACTATTGCTATATGATGTATACATCCATTTCGGCTTAGCTGAAATTCAAGATGAAGAATTTCTGCTCAAAACTTAAACTGAAATATGTTAAACTTTTATAATAGCAAGAGATTAAACATCTGGAAATTCTGTTATAAGCGCTTTAAAAAAAACAAGGGCTACACACTTTAAAGCTGTGTTCCAGTCAGCTTTTATTGAATTTAGCATTATCTATTCCACACCAAAGACACTTTTGCTAAAAATCTCCAAGGGCCCAAGACGGAATGGAAAAAGCGATCACACGACTTAATTTGAAACGGGTATCTTTGTAAGTTTTGATCTTGGACTTGCGGTTTTCGCTGCTCGTCTTGCCGTCTCCCCTCAGCGCTCTTCAGTGTCCTGCGAAAACCAGTCAGAAGGACTCTTCCAGAAGTTTCCAGTGCTCCGCCTGTGACCCCCCCTTCAGTTCAGTGTCCAGGTTTGTGTCTGGGTGGGCCAAGGGCTGTCCCAGGGCAGCGGGTCTTTCGGGGGGCCCACGCTCAGGGTCTTCGTGAGTTAGCATCGTGGCCTCCGGAATTGAGCCGATTTTCCCCCACCTGCCCAGGTGAGGCGTGCTGGGGGGCGTGCGTCACAGCTCCTCCCCCGGCCCCTTCCCCTGTCCCGCAGTTGCGAGAAGCACCAGGAGCCCTGCCGGAGCAGAGCCAGGTTCGTGTGCAAGGCTGGCAGCTGCGGGAAGCGGCTGAGGAGCAGGGACGCCCTGAGAAGACACCAGGAGACCGTCCACGCCGGTGAGGAGTGCAGGGTGTGGCCTCGGTCTGCCGCTGGCGCTGTGGAGCGGAGAGCGGGTCGCAGGCAGACGTGGGTGCTGGCTGTGGTGATTTCCTGTCACCTGCCACTGTCTCCTTGCTGAGGTGATTTCGGCAGCATTGTCATTTTCCCGTCGCGTTCATCGAGACCGGAAACCTGCACCGGTGTCCAGCTGGACTGACGCACTCGAGTTAGCGTTTCTGCGTGGTGGTTGGTTAGGCTTCGCCCTGCGACCTGCTCCCTTTAGCAGGCTGGAACTACCCAGTGGTGCCCTCTGCCCTCCCGTGTTTACGGGAGGGTCCTGTGTTTGTGGCCTCGACTTCCCTCTGTTGGGGAACATGCCGACTACATTTGAGATGGGAGTTGGTGAGTAAAGCAGAGCCTGTCAGAGTCCTTCTCCATCCTGTTGGAGATCCCGGTAGCAGATCCTGGCTGGTGGCTCCACGGGAGCCACCGTGGAGCCGGCCTGTCACTCAGGTGTTGGCTGCTTAGCCCCCGGTGCCGGGCGTTGGTCCGGGGACGGAATCCACCGTGCCTCGCAGAGCAGGGAGGGTGGCGGCCTCGCCAGGGCGACGTCCCTCCCCGGATCCTGTCCTGGAAGGAGGCGGAGGTCCGCGGGGCCCCTCTTCGGTACCCACGCTTTCCTCACGTGCTTCCTGTTGCCCTTGGCTTCCGGGAAGAGGGTGGGATGGTCTTTCCGGACACGAGGGCCCTGGCTGTCTCTTTTCCCATCCTGGGGCCTCGCATTCGGGACACAGGGTCACGGTGTCAGCCTCGGTCCCCCATGGTGTCCTTGGATGCTGAGGTCCTAGACAATGGTATGAGTGTGTGTACTGGCCCCCATGTGGCACCCGACCTGGGCCGCACGGTAGGTGTGCTCAGTGAGAGCGCAGGTGGGAGAAGGAACGGCCTCACGGAACAGCTGCAGGGCGGCGCCCATTGCGCAGACCCGCGGGGCGCTGCCTCCTTCCCCTTGGAGCAACCTGGCTGATTGAAGGGAGCTGGCGTTTTTTTCTTTTCTTTTTTTATTGTCGTTCTAGTGCAGTTGTCTCCATTTTCCCACTACCAACTTCCCCCACCCCACTAGCCCCACCTCCCACCCTCAGTCCTTTCCCACTTTGGCTTTGTCCACGGGTCCTTCGTTCACGTCCCTGGAAGACCCTTCCCCTTCCGCGCTCACTGTTCCTGGGCCTTCCCTCGGCTGGCGAAGGCAGGCCTGGCTTTTCGTTGGACCTGTTTCCATAGACTTTTGAAAAGCTATTGTGTTTGAAATGCTGTTCTTAATTTTCTCCATCTTGGTCTGTAACGTATTATAACAAATCTTTCTTGTCATTTGTAACGTTAACTCTGCTGAACTAAGTGAAAAGCCAGATGCTCGCGGAAACCGTCTCTGGAAACTCGGGTTCCCGCTCGCGACGGGCATGTGGTCTTCAGGCTGTCTTACATAAGCATCATTTCTTTGAGGCTTCTTGTAATTGGCCTTGGATATTGTCCTATTACTCATTCAGGAAACTCATGGTGATTCTGTAGGAAGTCGTTTGCAATATGAAGTTTTTGCTTTGCCATGCTGTGGGTCGTGTAAAACGCGGAGCTCTCTGTCTGCAGGCAAAGGTCGCCATGCCCACCCCCTGCTGGGGCTGGCTCACAGGCTGTCTCATTCCTAGCCTCTCCCTGGCTCCCCCTCCTCTGTGACTATACGGACCCTTGGAGGAGAGAATAGTCCATATTCCAAAGCAGAGCAGTGTCCCCCTGGGGGTTGTAGAACCCTGCACTAGAAATAGGCAGGTATTCCAGGAAAGAGAAGGTCTTGCCGCTTCTACCGCTGACGATGAGGAACGGTCGTTGCGAGTGCTTTGGGTTGAAGATGCTGAGAAGAGAGAAGCTGAATTTTTAAATAAGCACCACATTTTTCTGTAGAAATTGTACATGTGGGGGACAGGTTTTCAGACCAGCTTCTAGAAGCATGCGCAGCCCACCCGGTGCCGAAACTCGCAGTGACTAAGTGACTGTGTGTATACACTGTCCCACTGTTAATTAACCTGCCCTTGTAAGTACTGAGTTCCTACTGATGGACCTGAACACGGGAAAAGCAAAGTGGGATAAAGGCCAGTTGACATGGTGGGGGCGGTTCTCCTTGAACCTAGATGCTGGTAGGGTGGCAGGAATGTCCACGTCACCCAGCGGGAAACAGAGAGAGGGGGCTCCGATCCCCACTCCCCACCTCTGTCCTTGGTTCAGGTTCTGTGGCTGCCACCTGTGGGGGTTTGCGTTCCCGGGAGGCGGCGTCTGTCTGTGTGTGGGTGAGCTGTCGTAAACTGTCCCCGAGCTTCTTCTCGGAGGAGCCAGGACCCCAGGTCTCGAGTGAGGAGCGGAGGGTGTGAGCAGGGAGATGCAGAAGCACTGCCTCTGAAGCCCTCTCTGTCCTCACCTAAATCATGGTGGCCCTTGGTTTCTGTCGCAGGAGATCCGAAGAAAAAGCTCGTCTGCTCGGTGTGCAGTAAGAAGTGTTCTTCAGCCTCAAGCCTGCAGGAGCACAGGAAGGTCAGTAAGATCCGGGTGAAGGCTCATCAGAGTGGGAGGTTTTTAATGTCGCTGGTGGAGTCTGCTGTGGACATCTACGCTGATTTCTTTATATTGCAAAAGCAGGGCTTGTCATGAGCTTAAATACAAACGCAGTCTAACGTGCGAGACTCATCACAGGAGAGTGGGTTCTTCCAAAGACTATTTTGAGTTACTGTTCAGAATTGGTAGAAATGGTGTTCGAATGCAGCGTCCTGTCTGCTGAGTCCTCACCTACGAGCCCCGTGGGTTGCTGGTAGTTCATACCTTGGTAGATCTCCATCCTTCCTGGGTGTGGCGGAGCACAGCAGCTAAGTGGTCCCTGTGGGATATCGATGACCAACCGAGGAGCTCAGTGCAGTGTTTCTCCGTGACAGCGGAGCTCCTCTAACAGCCTTTCTGAAGCCGCAGGCAGCTGTGACTGGCCTCGTCTAGCTGGGGACATCTAATGTCTAATAGAGGTTGGTTGCAGTATTTTCAATTGCCAGTAGGTGGTGCTCTAAGATGATGCCAAATTGCATTTTCAGCCAGGGTTGCAATAAGATACACGACTCTCCTTCTAGAAAATTATTTGATTTGGGACTTGAAATTTAAAGTATTACCCTCCCTATCAATTTAGTGCAGTGGACATTTTATGAAATGCATGTTACTTGGTGTCAGGCATAAATAAATAGCATCGCCTATCATTTTCACTTTATATCTGATTGTTTTGTTAACCCTTTTGAAGAGTTTTAAAAATAGCTTTGGCCTAAATTTTCCACAGAAAATAAGATGCAGAAATGCTTTTGTGCACAGTAAACACTTCCATTTTATAATCGAGGGATTAAATCTGTTCGATTTAATGTTTAAAAATGTTTCATGTTTCAGAAGCCATGAGCATTAAGAAGTAAACAAGTGTGATTATTATTCTGCAGTATTTTCACAGTTTCCACTTTACGTATGCATTAATAGTTTTTACATTTCACAGGCTAGTAGGAGCTTAGCATTGAAATGAAAATAAAGTGAGTGTGGCTGAAGAGGCGCCCCCTCTTCTGTAGAGAATCTGGTCCTTAGAAAGGTGTTGTGATGTGTGGCAGAAACGCAGGCCAGGAGAACACTAGTCTGCTCTCAGTGCGACAACTGTCGGGAGGGAGTGTCCCGCCTGGGCCTCGGTGAGGCTGTCTGCTGGGGAAGGGGCTGCTTCTCAGACGTCTCAGGCCGGGTCGTCCTTCTGTGCCGGGTGGTGCTTGCCCTCTGGCTGCCCGGAGGACCCTGCACTGCTTTCTGTGGGGGCTCAGAGGTCTCTGGACTCCACCCCCACCCCCGGTCAGATGAGATGCCCCTGGTCCAGGGGTGGAAGCCAGACTCAGGGGGTGGCATCTTCCTGCTTCTGCCTTGTTTCTCTGCCTTTTCCCGGCTTTTCACAACTGAGTTTACAGACTCTTACAGGGTCGGCTCTTCCCAAAGCAGAGTGTGGGTCAGCAGCCTCCCACCTGCCGTGTGGCTGGGCACAGCGAAGAGTCAATATAACATACTAGTGTGATTTGTTTACAGAAAGGCTGGATGTAATATGAACCACAGAGGTCAGCGGTATTACATGTTTAAGCGGTGTGCACTCCTATGTGCTTTAATGACATGTTTTCACCAGGTAACGATGCTCACTGCAATTTCAGTTGATATAGGACAGAATGAATACATTGGGACTGAGTTATAACATATAGTTCGGTTATTGCAGCTGTCTGCACTCTTATACTAGGATTTGCGCTCTGTATAACTTATTTGGCTTTGATAGTTGATGTAACTGTCAGTTTAACCTTTTGCAGATTCACGAGATATTTGAGTGTCAAGAATGCATGAAGAAATTCATCTCAGCGAATCAGCTGAAACGTCACATGATCACCCACTCAGGTAAATACGCTTGTTTTATTCATATGGGAATCAGGACAGATGCTGCCCGCCCGTGGTTGCGAGGAGCTCAGAGCAGGGCTGGCAGGAGCCCCGGCTGTTAGCTTTGGCCCGCCCACCCCTGCCAGGTGATTGCAAACAAGCTACATAACTTCCCCGGACCTCAGTCTGTCTGCAGAGCGAAGGCAGCTGGACTGCATGCTTTGGCAGATCTTCGAAAGCCACCATTTAATCTGTCCCTTGGTCCTCCTCAAGCCTCGGTGTCTGTGCCGCTCTTTCTGTGTGGGGTGGGCTCCTTCGATTTGGGGAGGCCGTGAAGGTGGAAGCTCAGAACCTGCCAGTCCAGCGGGGGCCCGATGCCGAGCAGCGAGGCAGCGGTCCGCACAGCGCCTGTGCCTCGGGGGGCTTCGGCACCGAGCCATGGTGGTTTTGAATATCCCATTTGGAGATGGAGATATTTTGGCAGATGTACATAGGAGGTCGGGAACACATGCCCTTCAGGTGTGCCCTGAAAAATACTCTTTGGAACAAAGAGTATTTTCTTTTACCTCGTTGTCAGCATTCCACGCACGCCGTGTCCCTGTGGGTTTCCCACGCCCACCTGAGTGGGTAGTTTCTGCACAGATGTGGGAGCCCCACCTGCATGTGGTCCCCTGGGCGGAGCTGGGGGCAGGCACGTCCCCACTGTCCATCACCATTGGGCCACTCCTCACTGTGGAGCTGGGCCGATACACACTCTCACCCGTCAGCAGGGGTTTCACTCGGAAGCAGGGTCTCTTCATGGGCTTTAAATCTTTGTGTCCGAGCTACTGCAGACATTTAAAAGAGCAAACCTGCCGTTTGATCGCGAACAGGCTCGTGTTGGCGTAGATGAATCAGGCAGCAGATTTTGTTGAGTTGTGCGGGTCACACTTTAGCCGACGTGTCCGTGTGAAGTTGTAGGAGGTGAGGCTGTTTCTGTTTTCGTCCTTTCCTCCGTGTACATCACATGAGACTGTCTCCACTCATTTTCCACAGAGAAACGGCCCTATAAGTGTGAGATTTGTAATAAATCCTTCAAGAGGCTGGACCAGGTGGGCGCCCACAAAGTCACCCACAGCGAAGACAAGCCTTACAAGTGCAAGCTCTGTGGGAAGGGCTTTGCCCACAGAAACGTTTACAAGAATCACAAGAAGGTAAACACTTGTTATGCGGTCACTCGTTTTTCTTGCTGGTTTGCTGGTATGATTTCCAGTGCTTTGCCTTTTAAAGGAGGTTCTGCACATCTGGTGCGGGCTGTCCCTGGGACAACTGGAGAAGATCTTGCGGCGATCCCCCCCGTCGGGCCGTGTCCGTGGGACCCCGTTTCCATCTTCCATTCTCTGCAAGCCGCTGTCCCAGCAGGCAAACTGCCATCCAGCCCCCGAAGGCTTGTCCTCAGTGTGCAGTCCTTGTTCTCCCCCATCTTTCTGTGACCGTGCACCTGCCTGTGCATCTTCCCTTCCTGGAACGCTCTTCTCTGCAGGGCCTTCTCAGTCTCCACTGCTGGGTCTCTCCCGGTTTCTCTGGGCGCTGGGGTCCCTCCTACCCCGGGGGGTGGTCCTGGGCTCTCTGACTGGACCACTTCTCTGTCCCCTGTGCCGACTGCAAACTCCACTTCTGCTGTCTGCTCTGCACTGATTGATTCCAAATGATGTATTTTTTAAACCCCAAGCTTCAGGCGCCTGTTTACGACTGCTTATCTGGCATGTCACTGGGCACCTTTCTGACCCCGTGAGTGAGCCGTGTCCCAGAATGACCTTTCATCCTTTCTGCTGCCTCTTCTGGAGTTTCCTATATCTGCCGACGACCGAAGCACAGCACAGCCCCTGTGTCTCTCTGTAGTCTTAGCCCTCATCGGACGTCAGAAGGCAATTCTCGAAGGTTCTCCCTCTGCACAGTCTCACTGCCGTCATGGTCACACGTCGCTGTCCCACCCTGGGGGCTGCTCATCACCATCCCACTCATGCCTGTCACTCCCCACTCCAGTCCCTTCTGCCAGGTAATCGACCTGGAGCACACCTGGCATGTCCGGCCTGTGCTTTCGGGGTCCTAGCTGACTCCTGAAGCTGAGGGCAACCGTGGTGTCCACGCATCGCCACTCAGGTCCCCACGCCCTGACCTCAGTGAGCTTCTGCCACTTCCTGGGCTTCAGTCGCTGCGTCACCACCCCTGACACAGTCAGACACTTGCCCTCGTTCGGCGTGACCCCTCTAACCTCCCCCTTCCTCCTTTCGGACGGGACTCTCGTCACGTTGTCTTCCTGCAGTTTTCTCTGTCGACCTCTGTTTGAGTTTTGTATTAGTTTTGTCATACCCACTTTGGGTCTAGAATACGTGATGTTCGAATCGAATTCACAGAGCATGTCCCATGAGACTCAGCACCTTAGAATCGTGTGTTTAAACGTGTTCGTGATACGGTGAATATTTGCTTCTTGACTGTGGTTGATAGAGGCTGCTGCCAAGTAGCATGTACATGGACTTTTCACTGACTGGTCGCACTGACTTTTCACTGACTGGTCACTTCCCTCCGAGCCCACAGAAGCTTGAGTGCTGGGAGTCTGCTGTTGGCCTGACAGCTCACCAATGACATCACGGCCGGCTCGCATGTGTTTAGTGGGTTGTATGTGTTGTGTACTGTATTCTCAGAATAAAGTAAGAGGAAGTGAAAAGAGGAAAGGAAATGTTTAGAAGACCATAAGGAAACAAAAGTGCATTTGTGGTATTTATTGAACGGAAGTCTGCATGTGAGTGGACACGTAGAGTTCAAACCTGTGTTGTTCAGTGGTCGGCTGTGGTTATTTTGATATTTTTGCGGAAACTTCAAAGATATCTTTTCTGAAATCATTTAAAAAGTTATGATTTCAGCTTCAGTTTTAAAAGAAGGAAGTGCAGATTTACTCAGAACAAGCAGGCTTCATTGCGGGGGGTCTCAGGTGGACTCTGCCGACTTCCTCGCCGTTGCTGCCGTCTGCGTCGTGGCCTCGTGCGCTCAGGACAGCAGCTCCCTGCGCCCGCCGCTCCGGAACCTCCTCACTGTCACTCTCCTCCGGCCGGTTTCCTGCTCAGTCTCTGGGACTCGCTGGCCCTCTTTGATGAAACTGGTGGACCCACAGCGATGAGATTTTCCCGGTGGGAGCCCGGCCCGGGCTCTTTGCAGCACTGCCCCTCCTTCCGGCCGTAGGTCACGGGAGAGCACCGGCGACAAGTCGGGACGGACCGAAACCACGATGCCCGTCATTTCCAAAGTGGGGGGTGCACGCAGCCCCCGCTCAGACCTGCGAGCTGCTCACTGGGCCGTGGGCCCGGCGCATCTGCCGGGGCTTCGGGAGGCTGTCTGAGAGGGTTCCAGGGCCACGTGAGAGCAGCAGGTCCGCTCTTCTGTCGTTGTTCAGTGGCAGCCGGTGAGGAAACGGAGACGTGAGGGGTGTGCAAGGAAAGCAGGAAAAAATCGTAACGAGTCAGATGGATTCTCATCGCTTAGCGCGGCCCGAGGCCGCTACTGTGAACCAATGAACTGTTTTTGGTTTTTGACTATGTACCCTCTGCATTTTTATTGTGCTTATTTGATTTATTTTGGGTGCTGAAACATTAAATCCCCAAAACAGGGGGCTAAATGTTAAACGAATACTTAGATTTGCTTGGAAAGGGAGTATCACCTCTCACCGCGATGCTGATAATACATAGTGAGCTTCCGAGGAGGTATTTCCGTTTGTAAAACCCGGTTACGGGCTCCACCCTCTTGCCAGCCACGTGGGTCGAGGTCGGTCTTCCCGCCCCCGGACCCGGCCTGGGGCTGCCGGCCCTGATTCGTCCTTGTGTGCAGGAGCCAGGCCGAGTGAGGGCAGCTGGACCGAACTGCCCTCAGGTTCCGCCTGGAGAGGCGTCTCAGAGCCACAGATGCAAACACGTCTCGATTCGTCCTCACCCTCTTTACTCCCTCTCACACCTGATGCAGAGTGAAACCGGGGTGAGGGGACCGGCCTCCCACAGGCCAGACGACTGGGCGGACTGAACCAGCTGGGACTCTGGAGCTGGAAGGGCTCGCCCAGTGGTGGAGCGCACAGGGCTCTAGTCCTGATGGTGTTGTGACCCAGCTCCGGGGGACAGAGGTGTGTCTAGTCCAATAATAAAAGCCTCCTTTTCTCGACCCTTTAATAACCCCCCAGAGGTGAACTTTTAGAGGCCGGTTGAGACCTCTGGTCCCACCCTCTCTGGGAGTACTGCCAGTGGCCTCCGGTGGTGACGTGTCCTGCAGTGGTCTGGGTCAAGACCACTTTGTGGGTCTTTTGATGAGTTTAGTGGGCCATGAATAGCCTCTAAACATCGCACAGAAAACCTAAGAGGGAGGGTCATTGAATGAAATAATGTGTCTGTGCGTGTGTGTTGGATTTTCCTTACAGAATGTGTGTCTTTCATCCTGGTCAAGCAGTTGGAGAGAGAGTGCAGATCAGGCAAATCTCTCTAAATAGATCCAATGGATGAGGTTCTACTACCACAATATGCGGCATGAGGTTTACAAAGTAACGAATAAAAGAAAGCTCCTGACCATCTCTCAGGAAGGCGCTCAGGGGGCCACTTTCCGCTCCAGCTTTGCATCAGGTTCCTCATCTCCTCATACGCTGCTGCAGGAGTAGGGTCCTTCACGGGCCGGCTGTGCAAAGTCACCTCCCTCTGCAGGCTGGACACACAGGACGCTGTGTTACCTGGACGTTGGTGAAGAGACACATTGTTGCTGTTCCGTACACTCGAAGAGCTTTGTGGAGCAGGAGAGGAGAGACCTGCGGGGCTGGGTGGTTAATCCGAGGCAGCGGGCAATGAGGTGGGCCTGTGAGCCCCTGGGCAGCGCGGTGCCCCCAGCCTTTGTGGTTGGGACCTCCAGGTCTCCATGCAGGGCGGGAGAGGGGACAGGCCCTAGTGGGGGTCCAAAGTGCTGTCTGGGAGGCAGACTTCTGGGAGTCTGAGGTCACCCCTTCTGTGAGCAAATTCATATTGCCCTCACGAGGGTTGGCCTTGGGCCTGGGGGTCTCGGCCGCTGGCTTTATGGGTAACGGCTTTGTACCAAGGGAGTCGTCTCTTTGAGGCAGCACTGGGGTTGGGCTTGGCCACACGGGGCTCTGATTCAGTAAGAACGTCACCTAGATTCCGTCATCGTAATTCTCCGCGTGGAACAGACTGCCTCTTCCTGGACTGAGGTTAAAGAAACAGGATCATTCCGAATCCCCCCAGTTCCCGTTCACTCAGTGAGAAGGAGCCAGGCGAAGAAGGAAGCTGGTTGTGAAGCCGACAGTGAGCATCCAGTCCAGACCCGTAAACGGCCGCACGGCACACACTTTATGTGGCCCAGTGGGATGGCACTGTGGTTGTGCTGTGCAGGCTGGAAACTTTCCTAACAAAACTCTTAAAAAAATAGTTCTAACACGTATTTCTGGGATATTTTCTCCAGGTTTATTTTTATCACAGTGTATTTCCCCTGAATTTTATGGAAGTGTTCTTGCTTTGTACGTGACCTGAAGAAGAATACTGCTTCCAGTAAATTCCGGCACTGTGGAGCGACAGCTATTACTGCTGGCCCAGGGTTTCATTTTCAGTTGCGAATGGCCCTCACAAACCTTTTATTCTGCTCTCGTGAAATTGGTATGTGGTCTGCGTGGCTGGAACGGTGCTAATTAGGTAATTATTATGTAAGAATCATGCTGCAAACCTGCTGGGGCGTTTTTAGGACATTTTATTAGATGCCACGATACTGTGACACGTTTTCTCGTGTTTCTGCATCTGCAGCAGCAATTGGACTCACTGCATGAAGGGACCTGTTTTGTTGCCGGAGCCTGAGGACACGTGCATTTGCTGCTGGCAGATGTTGGTGTTCTTGGAGGCTTGGCAACCACGCAGGGATGTTCTTCTGTAGCTCGAGGGTTGCGCCGTGAATGTCCCGGAAGAGCTTATCTGCTTTGCTACAATTGTATCTGGTCCCTGTAAAATGTGTCTCCAAGACAGAAGCCGTCCATCCACCGAAGGCAGCATTTCCCTCCGCCTTCCTCCCACTGAGACTTCCACTTGTCACGTCATCACAGTTCCCTCGGTGGCGTCTCGGTCTCCTGACCGAGGTGGCTATTCCCCTGGTCATGTGCCCACAGATTCCCACTTCCGACATGCCGTTGGCTTCAGGCCGGCGTCTCCTCGTGCTGGCTTTGGTGTGCAAAGCACTTTGATGCCCCGAGTTCTTCCAAAATCAAGCTATCAGTCACCCCCACTGGCTGTTTGGCCCTGGCCTGGGAGAAAGACAGACATAAGTTGGGGGGGGGGGGCGTGTAATATTTTTGGAAGCCCAAAGCAACCCTGTGTTTCTAACCTTTTTCCTTGCATTTAAAAATTTAACTCTTTCTCTCATATGCATACCTGGGTTTCCAACATACTTAGAATGCCTTTCCTCACTCAACAATTTTATTAAAATCCACTTATATTTTTTTCTAGTAAACTTAGGGCTTTATTCCAAACATTTTAAAAGACACCTGAATTAAAATGGAACTTATTCTAAGGGGTGTGAAAGAGACTGGACTTTTTTTCTCTGAATGTCTGTAGAGTTGTCTGAAAGCCATTTACTAAACATTTTATGGTTTTCTTATCAACTTGAAATGCCATATTTTCCTCTACTAAAAGTTCATATATTTTATGCACAATAAAAAAAACTATTCTTTTTTTCTATTTTAATGACCTGGTTATTTCCACCTGTCATTTCAAATTTCTGTGGCTTAAATAGCACATCTGAATGTCTGCAGTTTATCCTTATTTCTAAGCATTCATTCCTCTCGCCCTTTCTCTGTGTTTTCAGAACTGAAACCAGGTGTGATAACAGCTTTTCCCCCAGCTCTGTGTTTGTAGCTCATGCTTGCACCCCGAATGTTACAATGTCCATTGGGCTAAGAAAATGTGTAAATCACTACGTTGTGAATAAAGTGGCTTTCCTCTCATTCCCTTTATTTTTGTACCACACGTATCATAAAAACCCACCGATTGTGTGACTGATTTTATTGTCATAAGAGAGCACACTGCAGTGTTTGACACTGGCGTTCTCTTACCACCCACAGTAGAGAGGGCTTTATTTACCAATCTACGCCGAATGGATCAATGCTGGCGGAGAACAAAAAACTGGTTTTTGCTTTTGAAAGATTTTCGTAGGTTCCTCGGAGGAAGAAGTGCCAATCAGCCACAAAGTCGGGCAATATAGAGCTTTATTGGGGTTTGCCCGCCCGGGCCAGGTTCCCCAGCCCACAGAGTGGGGCCGGGAAGTCCTGCCCAAGCAGGGAATGCGGCGGCGGGTTTTATTTTGGTTGCATCTCCATGGGAGCTGCGGATTGGTCCCCCTGAAGGAAGCGGCAGTACATCATTGGTGGTTGTCCTCGGCTCAGGTTGCTATGCGGTGAAGCCCGCCCTTCCGGGCCCTGGTTTGACGTCAGCCGCCTTTTCCGGGTTGTAGTTCAGCTGCCATTTTGTCCTATCGCCCATCCTGACAGCTTTGTGGTTTGTGTTTTTGAATTTTGGGTCCAGCAGGTGGGTTCCTGAGGTTTCCTGTTCATCGGCATATTGTGTGGGTGGCGTGTGTGAGGGCACTTGCCGCATCTGGGCTGTTTGGCATTTGGCAAATTACCGAAAGTGGCTGAGCCTTAGTTTTCCCATCTGTGAATGGGGACAAGGACAGTATTCTTATTCACTGAATCGCGGCTGGAAGTTGGTGAAATAATTCTTGGAAAGTATTAGCATCTGACAGAAAATAAATAGTTAATGCGTGTTCCCTCATGTTAACTATGGCATGACACTCTGGTTTAATTCAGGGGAAAGCATCCCCTGGGATGAAAATGGACCTGACGTCACTCACTGATGTCGAGGGGCGGGGCGCAGTCCCCTCGGTGATGAGAGGCTGGCCCCGCGCAGGCACGGCCTGTGTGGCCGGGGAGGGGCTCTGGTCTCGGAGAAAGGGCGCGTTCACCAGACTCCGAGGAGAGCCGGAGGGCGCCCTGTGAGTGTTCAGAGTGGCCCAGTGCGCCCGCAGGCAGGGCGGCCGGGCCGTCCACCAGCTTTCTCATCGGTGAGAATCTGGAAGTACCGTCGCTTTCTGCTGTGACCGTGGCGTATTTGTGTGACTGGCTGAATTCAGGGGGCAAGAAGGTCACCAGGAGCAGCGAGATGCCACCTGTGGTCCCTGCTGTCCTCTTTCTCCTCTTGAACCCGCATTCCGGCTCCAGCGAGGACACCAGGGGCCTGCAGCCTCCTGACTCGGTTTCTCTGTCTGCAGACTCACTCGGAAGAGAGGCCGTTCCAGTGCGAGGAGTGCAAGGCGCTGTTCCGCACGCCGTTCTCCTTGCACCGGCACCTGCTCATCCACAACAGTGAGTCTGGGGGCAGGGGCGTGGGGGGCGGGGCGGTTGGGGGACGGGCAGGTCCAGGAACGTGTCTGCGGTGTGGGGGCTGGTCACATGCCCGCCGTCCTCTTGTCCTCTTCCTCCATTTCCCTGGACAGACCCCTTTATGAGACGTTTTCTCTTGTATCGCGTCCTCTCATCAGTCAAAGTCTGTGCAGGAGGACGTTTCCCGTGCTGGGTAAGGAGTCTTTGAAATGTGCTCCGATACAGTTGCTTCAGCCCCTCTCACTCATAATGACCAACGGTGCCGCAGCGCTTTCGGTTCTGCCCCAGGCCGCAGTTCCCTGGGTTTCCATGCAAACAACCCCCCTTGCGATGCGGACGCTTCCCCGTGAGAAAGGGGTGCCGCGATGAAAGGAACAGGCAGGCGGACTCTGGCGTGATTTCACGAGCTCGTGGACGTGCAAGGTTGGGAAGGACTGGAGTACAGATCAAACTTGACCTCTTAGTCTGGGGAATTGAGATGCCAGAGTCACCGAGCAAGATGGGGCGTCCTTGGGGCTCCGTGGCGCCAGGTCTGAAGACCTCTGCTCGTCCTGCCCACCATGCAGCTTCCACTCTGACTTCTCCCTCGTCTGCGGGCACAGGGCTGTCTGTCCACGTGTCATGTGCACTGACACCTGAAAGCCTGTCTGGCCATCACACATGGAGCTGGGTCCCAGTCGGCGGTAGAGGGACAGCTGTGCGGCTAAAGGCCGGCCCTCTGTCCCAGAGAGTGGAGTGTCTCCGCTCAGCGGGGGCTGAGAGGGGCTCACTGGCCCGGCACTGCGGTCCCCAGCGGTCCCTACATGGTGGCATCTGACATTGAAGAGAAAATGGTGTGACGTGGTAACACTGACACGTCCTGCTTTTCCTTTGAGTCGTTTACACAGCAGAACAGCCTCTACAGGTGCGCTCCGCACTGCGGATGACATTTTTACTGTCTCTGCGGAAAGGAGAGGCATCACGAGGCCCTGCAGCAGGTAAGACGGTGTCTCGGAAGACAGTTTCTCTGGTCCTCGGAAGCATCTACGAGTCAACGAGGTAAAGCTGTTGACGTGTGTATGACCTCGGAGGGCGGCGATGGTGACAAAATGCATCTGTGCTCACAGAAACGCTTGTGCTGTGGCCTTGGGCTGTTCGGCCGTCACCTTGAGGCCCTGGGGACATTCTCAGCACGACTTGCCGTTCTCCTCATACAGGACAGCTGTACCTTTCATAGACAGCTTGTCATGCAGCCGCAGGAACTCCCATCCCACGTGTCACCAGATTGTGAAAAGTGACTGTGATGAGATGAATGGATTTCAGAATAGGGACTTACGCAAGTGGGCCGTGGGCGTGCTGCCAAGACTGATAAACTTGGCCTGATGCTCAGGACATTTTTCTTTGGAAAGATGAAATTTTGTTTTTAATACCAGCAAGGAATTTTCTAGAGAAGGAATCCAGTACTTTGGGCTTCAGCCTGTTTGGTTCCCTCAGTTTGAAGCCGAGGATCGAGGTGCCTGGGGATAGACTGTGCTTGTGTGTTTGGTGTAGCATCGTGTTTCTAAGTGTTTGATACAATGTTGCTCTCACGTTTCTGCGTGTGTGCTGGTTGGAGTGGAGGGGAGCGAGAGAGAGGTCAGCGCTGAGTCATCCCTTCCTGAGACAGGGAGAGTTACCTGTGTTTTGTGTCAGTGTGTCTGTGAATTGGTGCTAATGGGACTGACCTCTGAGAGGGGAAATGAGTGCTCGTGCCAGTCTGTATCACTTATATGATCGTGGGCCTCGTGCACGTGGTAACCCCCCGGGAGAGATCCCGTTCTTCTCGTGCTGCTCACGGCTGGAAAGTGTAGCAGAAGGGGACCGTGACGAGGTGGGTGATGTCCCGTGGGACGGCATTCTGTGGAAGCTGAAAAAGCACCACGAGCTTCCTGCACACGGTTCCTGGCGCGGCTTCCCTGCCGGCCCAGGCTGCGCCGTGAGAGATGGCACCCGGGACTCAAGGGTGTGAAAGGGGGATTGCCACTCTGGGGCTCCCTGCCCCTCACCCCCAAACTGTCTGAGGGCTGACTAAGGACCTGAGTCAAAAACCCCCGAGACCCAGCAGAGGCCGGAAGGGGGCTGCGGCCTCCGCTGCCCCGGGACAGGCAGGCCCCTCTGACCACTCCTGTCTGTCCTGGGGGCCTCCCTCCTGGCTGGCTGTCTGTCTGTGGCCAGGCTGGCCCGTACCTTACCCCCCTGAAGGCTACAGGGCCAGCTGTGGGATTGAGGGGAGAGAGATGGGGTCCCCAACGCGGCCACCCCACTCGCAGAGGCCCTTTGTCACCACGAGAATCCACCTCCAAGCCCGGGCCCTGCCCTGGAAACTTAAAGAAAGCGCATCGTACCTGAAGCAACTGAGTTCAATCCCCACCTTTTTTCCACCTGAACAGACCGAGACTCTAGGAAGGTTGAAGGCTTCCCACGGGTCACACGGCGGGTGGTGCCGCGGATAGGGAACGGAATTCGCCGTGGAAAATGGCCTTTTATGTTGTGACGAGTGTTCAGGGCTCTGGGGCCGACTCGGGGGCACAGGACGAGCCCTGGGCCCTGCGCCCGCCTCTGTCATTTTCCCCCATACGACCTCTCACTCTCAGGTGAGAGGACCTTCAAGTGCCATCACTGTGACGCCACCTTCAAGAGGAAGGACACCTTGAACGTGCACGTGCAGGTGGTCCACGAGAGGCACAAGAAGTACCGGTGCGAGCTCTGCAGCAAGGCCTTCGTGACCCCGTCCGTGCTGCGCAGCCACAAGAAGGTGAGTCCAGCGGCCGTGGGTCGGGGGTCGCACACGCAAGCCGTGTGGGGCGTTGGTCAGCGCAGGCAGGCAGCCACTGAGTGACGCGCCCGGAGTGTGCGAGCTGCAGGCAGAAAGGCCCGCTTCCTTCGCTTGTTCAGAGCAGGCGTTTCTCGCGTGGCGGTGAGAACCTTGAGTCTGCGCCACGTGGGCCTGGCCGTGCCGACCTGGACCGGGGGGCTCGGGGCGCGGAGCTGATGAGTTTCGTGGGCATTTTAGATGAACACCGGTGTTTTAAAAAGAAACGTGAAGTGCCTTAATCATTGTATTTCTCAAAGCTAAGTTGGAAGGTATTGGCTGGCCAAAATGTCCAACTCCGGTCACATAAGTAAACAAGGAAATACTTATGTGACAGCGAATGAAATCCTGTGGATTTTATGTAGGTAGTACGAATAAATTGCCATTGCCCGGTGGGAAGGTCCCCTGTCATAATAACAGATACGTACAATCTCTACACAGCTTGGTAGGAATCGAGAGGAACTGTGACGTGTTTGCCCCTTCGGGTCAGGGAAGGGAAGGGAAGGTGCCGTGTTGAAATGTTATGCCGGCCTTGAGATGGAGCCTCCGTGAGGCTGGGGGGAAGGGTCTCCCCGCGGTGAGAAGAACTTGGAGCGAACACGGGAAGCTCGGGGTGCCCAGTGCGGAGTCGGAGGGAGGTCTGTCTGCTGCGGGCGGGGGTGGCTGGTGGCAGTCGGTTGCACTGTGCCTCTCAGACTGGAGTGTGACGTCCATCCTTCCGGGGGGGAAAACAGCTGAGGGGCCCTGGCGTGGACTCAGCTGTGATGTATGGAGAGCTCTTTAAACACCACCCATACGGCACTGATGCCCGATTCCAGGTGACCATGCAAATGTGAACACGGACAAGGAAAAGGCCAGTAAGACCTCGCCTCCCACTGCATCACACTGAACATGGGAGTGAGTGGAAGACCAGAGTGTAGGGCTGATCGGGGCTCTGAGTGTCGGGTGAGGAGGCGGCCGGCCAGCCCCTCTCCTCCTGGGAAAGCCTCGCAAACACGGGTCCCGGTCTCTGTCTCTCTCCACCAGCCCATGGCAGTCCGGTGGTACCTCCTGCCTGCCATTCACATAGAAACCCACACGGGCTGGGGCCCGGGGAGCACTGCGGTGCGCTCTCGACCCACGTGGCCACTCAGTGCTTCTATCACGGACACTAAACAGTTCTGAAGCAGCCCCTAGAAACTGCACAGAGCCTGAGGTGGCAGCTTCCTCGCCCTCCCTGTCCCCTCCCTGACCCCAGGCTGGACGAGGCCCCTGACCCTCCGTTAGGGGGGGCGCCTGTTTGAATGTTAGCACAAGGACTGGTCTCCAAATTTGCGATCTGTCTCTTCTTCCTGGAAATGGTCCTTCTCTTCTCTTTGAAACATCCTAGTGAAAACTACTTTAAAACATTCCTTCAGTGTGTGAGTTTCAGGTTTCTTTCACTGTGAGTTTCAGGTATCTTTCACTGTGTGAGTATCAGGTATCTTTCACTGTGTGAGTTTCAGGTGCACAGACTATAATGCTGCATCCCTATGCTACACAGGGGTCACCATCTCAAGTCCAGTTGCTGCCCATCACCATGTGTTGACTCCTTCACCCATCCCCCCACCCTCCTGGTAACCACCAGTCTGTCCTCTGTGTCTGTAAATTTATTTTTGTTTGGTTTGTTTTGCTTCCTTTGTTTTCTACATAGGAATGAAGTCACATGACATTTGTTTTTCTCTGTCTGACTTATTGTGGTTAGTATAATACCCTCAGAGTCCACCCACATTGTCACAAATGGCAAGATTTTGTTCTTTTTTATGGCCGAGTAATATGCCCAGAAGTGGGAACACTGGGTAATAAGGCAGTTTCGTTGCCAATTTTTTGAGGACCGGACCCCCCCCATACTGTTCTCCATGGTGGCTGCCCCTGTCTGCATTCCCACCAACAGTGCACGTGGGTTCCCACATATCCACACCCTTGCCAGCACATTGGTTCTTTTCTTTGGGATGACAAGCCATTCTGACCGGCGTGAAGTGTGAAAACTTGCTTTTGATGCTACTCATTTACCTTTGTTCAATGCCCAGATCAAAGGTGTGTCGCGGGAAGGAATGTCCTTCCCAAGTGACCACTCAGTGAACACCTGCTGACTTTAAAGGTCGAATCAGATTCATATTCTCTGTTTTGCACTAAATTAGTCCAGTCAGACAAGCAGGATGCAAGGAACATTCCTTTACTGAGATCAGTTCTGTCCTCAATAGTTAAAGGCGCACAAAGAATGTGGAAATACATTAAGGGAGCCCTCTGTGGCTGCGGGCAGCAGCCATGGCCTCGCTCTGGTCACGTGGTTTGAGGTGGGCACTGTCTTCGTGTTACTTCATCATTGTTTTGGGGGAGGCTCCATAAAGGCTTAGAAAGTCAACCACAGAGTTATTCTGAAAGGAGCGCTAATGCGTGATTCGGATGGGTTTCTCGACCCAGGGGGACCCCCGTGATAAACGGTTTCAAGTCTCCTTGCGATACTAAATCATCATAATGAATCGTAATCCAGGAAAGAGGGGGTTTACCGTTGTCAGGGCACTCCATCATCTGTCCCTCCCCCTCTGTCTGCCCTGTTGTCCCACCCAGACGCACACCGGCGAGAAGGAGAAGGTCTGCCCGTACTGCGGCCAGAAGTTCGCCAGCAGCGGCACGTTGAGGGTGCACGTCCGGAGCCACACAGGTGAGCGGGTGGCACAGCGGCACAGCTGACTCAGGCCACAGTCCTCCCGGAAAGGGCGCGCTGTGACCCCATCACAAACACCCCCGTGTTCTCTCCCTGAAAGTTTTGTAAAATCCGGTTTTCCCTCCAGACACATTTTGAGTAAGTACGCTCTCTCAAACGAAGTTAGACGTCTAACGCAGTGTGACCTGCACCTGCGTCTTCCCCAGGCATGACTCTGTGACACTGTGCAGGTCATTTGGAAAATGCTGTCTCACTGAGGGACCATGTCCCCGTCCTTGTCAGCGTCATCCCTGTGTCATGCGGCGAGCCCACCCTCTGTCACAGGCAGTGGGTGCATGGTTTCCCCCTTCTGCAGGGAGCCGGGCTTCTCTACTTCTGTGTTCTGTCAAAATTCCTCCCTCCCTCCCTCCTTCCTTCCTTCCATGGTGCGCTCACTCCTTTTACACTCAAGGTCACTGAATACCCACATCCTAATGGCCGTAGTTTGCCTGTCAGTCACTTCGTTTCAAGCACAGATGGAGCCCCCTGAAGTGGCCCTCCCGCCCAGCACCCCCGAGGCGGCACACACCCTCCCACGGAGCCGCTTTCGTCTGTCCCGCTGCCTCCCAGGTCCTCGCAGGCGCCCACTTCCGTCCATTTGGCACCACCCTCCCTCCGCAGCTGTGACCTGGCACCTGGTCATCTGTCTGCAACTCCACTCGGGGCAGAGCAGGTGCCCAGCCTTCATCAGCCGAGGGGGGTGGGGCCCCCTCAGACGCTGCCTCCCTCAGGGCCCCCCCACCCCAGCGTGTGGTCAGTGTCCAAGCCCACGCTCACTCCCCAGGACAAAGATGAGATTCACAGAAGCAAATGACCTGCCCGGTCAGGGCAGCCAGGTGATGACTCATCTGGTCAAGGACGTAAAATCCGAGTCTTGGCTTCAAACCCTGTTTTAGTTTTCACTGTCTCTTCTGCTTTGCTACACGGCTATTGTAATCAACACAAGAATTACAGAATCCTGTAAGTTCTCCAGTAGAAAAGCAGGGGGACGACATTCTAAAAGCCTGACGTTATCTCAGTAATTTGAAAGTTTTATGCTTTAGAGCCCAATGAAAGGTGCTTTAAAAAAATTTAACACTCCCGTTTGTTTATTGTGAGTCACCTTCATAGTGAGCTGTAACAGACAGAGAAAGGATGATTAAATTTAGTTTCACCTGATTTCTTTTTTTAAAAATGGACTTCATTTTCTGGAGCAGTCGCAGGTTCCCAGTGAAAGTTAAGAGAAGGGAATGACATTTGCCTGTCTACCTGCCCCTGCCCCGGACACACCTGCCCCCCCGCTTCCACCCCCGCCTCCACCCCAGCCCGGGGGTGTGCTCTTCACAGAGTGTGGACCTGCTCCGGCACGTCCCCGTCACCCAGGGTCCACAGTCTGCCTCAGGGTCGTCCGCTCTGGGCGTTGGGCATTCTGTGGGTTTGCACACATGTGTGATGACAGCTGTCCATCCTGATGGTGCCTCACGGACTAGTGTCACTCCCTAAACTCTTCTGTGCCCTGCCTGTCCATCCCTGGCCCTCCGCCCCTGGCCACCGCCGGAGAGTTCACTGTCTCCACAGTTTTCTCCCAGAATGTTCTGTAGTTGGGTAGATGGCTTTTTTCATCTCGAGGAAATGATTACTAACCGATAGTTCGACCTTCGAGTGAGGCGATGTGCATTTGAATACACTGCAGCGTGATGAGGATTTTACAGAGAAAGTGGTCTTTTCCCTGTCTTCCCGTTATGTTGAAGGAGTCGATTTCATTTGGTTCTTGTGGTATTCAGACTGTCCATCAATTTTTGGGAAGCAAACTCTCTGTTGGAACTTCAGCTAAGTTTTATGAGGAGGAACTCTGGCTGCAGTCGCTTGCCAACTGGTGGTGGTCTTCCCTCTTCGCACAGTAGGGCGGCGCTGTTGGTCTGCGTCGCGTTAGAGGGAGGTTGCTTTGTGTCAGCTTTCCCGGAGCAGGTCTTAGATGCCTCTGGTCCTTCCTGTTCCGACTGATTTCATCCTTTACTCCTAGACAACCAACTGCGTGCATCTCGTCTCTCCTTCTGCCTCCTCTGCCCCGCCCCCATTCCCATCCCCACCATCGGGGGGCAGAGTCCGACGAAACTTGGTTCTTTTCCATCAGTCTCGAAAACATCACTTTCCAGACGTGTCCTAACTCTGCGACTACCCTCTAAAGTCCTTTCTTCCTTGGTAATTAGGGGGTTAGAATAAGGGCGTGTGCTGCAGGTGTGCACGGGACATTTGCTCTTATCGGTTATTAAAACAACGTTCCTGACTTGTGGAACAGACAGGAATCTCGGAAAGTTTCTCCTTCCGGCCTCATCCCTGAGCTCCTGGCCATCGAAAGGCCGGGGCTCGCGGGGAACACACAGCTTGTGCCGGTTCCGCTGGACCCAGCTGAGGCCTCAGGGTTTTCCACTGAGTCGTGTTGCTGGTCTTTTTATTTCTTACTCTGTGACAGCCCCTCCCACTGCTCTTGGACCCTACCGGAGGAACTGCCGACCCCTCCCTCGGTGTGTGATGGTGTTACCTTGGCGACCAACCAGCTGAGGATCCTGGTCTGGACTCGGGAGGGTCCGGCTGTGCAGTTTGTCACGGTCTGCGCCCTCAGCTCCGCACGGGGGAGGCTTTCCCTCCAAAAAAACCGGCCACTGGTGGTGCCTCACCCCTTGGTGCTGGTTCGCATCCCAGCAGGTCCCGGCCACAGATCCCCGGCTCCCTGCCTCCCTGCAGAGCTTTAGTAAATCGTTTAATCTGTTTAGTGCCGATCTCGTCAAAGCTTCACTTCCTCATCTGAAACCTGGTCCAGGCGCCCTGGCCTCACAGCCTCCTTCCGTGACCCGGGGAGGTGAGTGCAGATGCCGTGCTGGGTGCCCAGCCATGGCCAAGCGCACCGGGACCTGTGACCTCCCTGTGCTCTGCTCCTGCCGCTCCTCCTGGATTTCTCCCCAGACAGGCACGCTCCTGGGTACACCGTCCGGCCCTCTATTTAGTGTCTCTGTCACCATCTCTTTTGTCATTGCCGGTGGCAGTGTGCAGATCATCTATGAACATGGCCAAGGGGCGTAATCCATCTCCCCTTTCCTGTGCCAGAGTGACGGCGGTGGCCCTGGGGGTCTCCCGCTGCCCAGGGTCAGTGAGAACTGGGGTTAATCTGCACAAAACCCATGGGCTGTGACGGCAATGCCGTCAGCTGTTCATAAATTATGAAGGAGATTCTGGGACCTGCTTTTGGGGGTTGAAAGCCCTGGGCCAGAAGGTTAATTGCTTGCCTCCAGTTCGGAGCAGCTTTCCGGGTTAATGGAGACGGGCTGGGCCGCCCTCCTGTCCCAGGCTGGCGTGCCCGCCCTGGTGGGAACGTGGCAATAAATCGCCATCCTGGGGAATCTGATTTTTTAGTAAATACCTGCAATCAGCTGGCAAGTAAAGGATCGGTACGTGATCATTTGATTCTTCGTGGACTTTAGTTGCTGATTTTCTTTCTTCTCTAATATGTTACTAAAGGAGTCTAGTCATTCTTTTTAGAAAATTTGTCTACAGTTTTGAAAAACAGCTATTAAATAATTCTAATAGCTATATGGCAATGTGACAATTATTAATACACAAAAATAGACACAGAGTAGTTATAAACACAAATGGACATTTAAAGCACGCTTTTCAGATTTTGTTTAGAATTAGGTGACCCTCACCTGATGAAAGGGAATTTATTTTGCTGTATTGATTTTCTAAGTGGTTGGTTTCTTCGGTAAACTATTAGATGATGCTAATAGCGGCCTCTGTGGGTTTGGAACCCTGCCATTCTCCTTTAGGCTGGAAAAGCGAGGAGATTGGGTTCCGCCTGGGAGGACCTCTCTCTGCCCTGGATGAGGTTCTCCCTGGGGCGACGCCCTGTGCCGTTTCTCTCTGTGACTTGGAATCGTGCTTCAGGGCTGGGAAGGTTTTGCAGCGGCTCTAGTTTGTAGGCGAAGGGAGCCATTTTCTGGGTACTTGCTGCCCAGAGTGACCGAGTCCTACAGCCTCCTTGCTGGCTCCGTCAGCAGGAAGCCCTGTGGCGTGGGCATCTGAGGTGTCACTGTCCCGTCAGGCCATCGGGCACCCTGCACCGCCTGTGCTCGTGGACGCCGGTTCAGGGGGACTCCTGCAGAAACTGCTCGGAGCAGGACACGCTGCGGGAGGTAGTAATGACTTCCCACCGAAGGCCGACTTCCCGACAAGAGCAAGCCAGTCCCTACCTGGCCGCCTACCTGGCCGCTCTTTACCCACCCACCCGCCTGCCTCAGAAGCATCCCTGGCCCAGCATCGAGGACAGCTCACAGTGGCAGCCTTCCTCTCGGTCTGAACCCTGACAGTTGGCCAGGGTCTGGGTGGTACGAGGGTCTCCCCTGTGTGCCATGCCCCTCATTCCACCGGCACCGGCGACAGAGGCCTCGAGGGGATGTCATGCCCCCTCCAGGCCAATGACGTGGAGAGGGCATCCTTGTACACCTGGTCGGCCAAAGCCAGGGTACCCTCAGTGGGGAATCTTTTACTTTCTCTCCCTGGATACGATATTTTTAAATTATTCATTTGCTCGGTTCCCTTTTTATTCTGCATCTTATTCTGTTTTGTTTGCATCAGTAAAACTCACATTCTGTCTGGCTCTTCGTTCTTTGACACAAGTTAGTGCCATGTGGGCCCCCGACCCCCTGCATCCCGCTGACCCTCCCTCCACAGTGACATCGGGCTCTGGGACTGCTCACTTTCTACGGAAGAGGACACGCCTTTCACTTTTTAATGGCTCCGTCCCTGGAGCCCTGCAGTAAAGAAAAGACTTGTTTCGATTCGAGTGGTAAAAGCATTTTGAGAAGTAAAGTTCCCCCCTTCAGTCACTTCTCAATTCTTACAATTTATTGCCCACTCCCTTGCAACAGTGAGCTCTTTAAGCTTTTAAAGGCAGAGTGTCTCTGTAAATAAATTTCTGCAGTAAATGTCAAGTTCAGATTTTTGTTGTCTTCCTTTTGACATGGTGTCCTCGGGTTTCACTTCTTTAGATCAAGTGAGATTCTGTAGGACTGGACTAAAAAGGGCGTCTCAAGAGTGACAGTGTGGAGCGCGGTGGGGTCGGGGTCTCGCAGCTCTTTCTGCTGTGGGAAACGTGTTCCCACTCACAGAAGAGTGCCGAGGGGGCCTCGAGCTGCTTGCGTCGGTCAGGGCAGCGTCTCGCCCTCTGTGGTCTGCCCTGGGCAGATGCCCCAGCCGTCGGGGTTGGGGGTGCTGTGGGGGTGCTGTGGGGGTGCCATGGCGGAGCCGGAAAAGCCACTGGGTGATGCTTGCACAATTAGGTGTTTGGCTTGAATTTTCCTTTAAAATGAGCCAGCGTCAATGTTTTGCAACATTTCCTTAGTTCGCAAAAGCAAAATAGGCTCATCCGATGATATGTGTGGAAAAGAACTGTGAAGTTCTAAAGAATTCTATACGACACCCATATTCCAAAGTTGGACCACTTGGAACCATTGTGGAGTATTTTATGGAACATACACTATTGAGGTACTTTTTTTTAGAATTTGGGATTTGCCCTCTCCAAAATTGATTTTTGTTAGAAAAGCCAAAAGTAGGAGGTGAAACTATAACTCCAGAGTCTTTAAACATTATTTAAATTCCATACTTAAACTTTATTTAATTTGGATTCATTTTTCATCTTAAATTACATTTGCTGTGCATGTAAATCTTTTCATCTTTTCAGAGAATTATGAAGTTCTCTGAAATCTATATAGCTTTTAAAAATGTACTGACTGACAAAAGTTAAAATTATTAAAATATCTGAAAATGGTCCTTTTTTATTTTGATCAAAATCTCTTGAAATGTATACATTACATATTAAGCTTTCCTGCTTGTTGAACATATTTTCAAAGCATAGAGATCATTTTATATTCACTTTTCTTTTTTAAACTTTGGTAGACTATATGTAAAATAAAACTTTTTTTTTTTTTTTACATTTCTCATCTTCAAAGGCGATCATGGCCATTATTGATCAGTCTGCTGCCTTCGATGTGTTTATCAGCATGAAATAAAATGTGGTCTTCTGAGCCTTCTGACCCAGCGGTCAAGTGTATTTCTTAAATTAAATCCACGATCTGATTTACGAATATTGAGATCTCTAGTTGAAGAATGGTTTGCCAGACTTGTCTTTATTCATTTTACCCTCTGTAAACACGGATCTTTAGGAGGGATTTGTGTTGAGATGTCGCACGTCGAGTGGTTATGTGGCCGTCGCCAGATGGGTAGTAATCGGTGGCTTTTAGATCCTTGTATCTTGAACACACACGTTCCCCTTCGCTGCCTCCCCAAACTTACGAAGCTGCTTCACTGTTAGTACCTGAGTCCTTTGCCGAGGGCCAAAGTTCTGCTCATGTCTTGAACTAACATCACATCACATACACTAATAATGATGTCGAAAAATTATCATCATAATGACCTACCTTACACTGGAATCTGACTTTTTCCCTGCTGCTTTTATCCACTTTTGCCAGTGCTTGGTGGCTGTCGTTAATGCGGTTTCTTCAAAGACCCAAGGGACTTGTTTGGGGACCGGGCCAGACTCCAGCAAGGTGTCCCACGTGGCACCCCAGATGCCCCTGTGGAAGGCCGAGCCCCCTTCTGAGGGTCCTCCGCCTGCGCCGTAAGCTGCGTCCCTCTCAGGTGCGCCAGTCGTGAGCGTCTGGAGGCGAACCTCCTGTGATACAGTCACGCAAAGATGAAGACCCATCAAGTGCACGCTCAGGTCTTGTTCAGTTGGCGTCAGGGAGCTGCTCTCATTCAGCTCCTTGGCCTTTTCTGACGGCCTTGCCAGGCCCTGCTTCAGCCCACGCCTGCGGGCATCTCTCCTAGACCTGCCTCTTTGTTTTGTTTTAATCGTGCAGTTTGTCAGATCTGAAGCAATTGTGCACCTTTGAACTCTTGCTTGTCTTCCCATTACATTAGTAACTTTGCAGAGACAGTGCTTTTGTGCGTGTATTCCTAACTCCCTCCCCAAGCCCAGGACAGTAGCTGGAGGATGGCAGGTACTCAAAAAGGTTCTGTTTAATTAGTGAGTAAATTTGCTTCATGGGGCACCCACTCTGTGGCACCTTTTACCATCGACCTAACCTCGGCCCTTTCCAGTGTCCACCGTGTTTCTGTTTGTCCCTGGCTGTGTTTGGAGAAAACCCCAGTGGACTTCACGTTGCTGACCACCAGCACATAATTTAAAGAAAGAAGCAGATGCAAAGAACTCATCTGTGTTTCCTAGTGATGTGGAAAGATATTCACATAAATTTTTTCTTAAACGTCTGAGCTTTGGGTTCCTTCCCTGGTCAGGGCACATGCAAGGATCAACCAATGATGCACAGATAAGTGGAACGACAAACTGATGCGCGTCTTTCTCTCTCTTCCCCTCCCTGTCCCTCCCCCCTTCTCTTTCTTTCTGAAATCAATCAATAAATAAAAATAGAAGGAAAGTCTCAGTGAAATAATTGAAGACCCTCACAGTGAGCAGCACAGTGCTCACTAATTAAATAGCTCGTTAATACATTGACTCACATAAAATCTTTTTCACAAATGATTGAAATGAGGAGATTTCATTGCGGCTCAAGTATTGAAAGGAGAATGCATCAGGCCTGCTTCTGGGGACTGTCACTTGTGTCTGGGTCCTGACCGTGCCCTGGGCGTGGTCCCTGTCCACAGCAGGGCAGCTGGTGGCCCCCCGCCCACACAGCCCTTGGTGTGTGTGGGGCCGGGGTCTGAGTGCGGGAGGGTGGCGAAGGGTGCGTGCCCCCCGCCCTTCCCGGTGTCTGACACGGAGCCCCTGTCTCGCAGGCGAGCGCCCCTACCAGTGCCCCTACTGCCAGAAGGGCTTCAGCAAGAACGACGGGCTGAAGATGCACATCCGGACCCACACGCGGGTAAGGGCGTCGGCCCCGCTGCTGCCGGGCACGGCAACGTTCTCCCTGGAAAATGTTTAGTTACGTGAGGAAAATAGGTGGCGTGCCTGAACGTGTATGTTTGTGTCTATGATGGATGTTTGGGGGATACATTTTTTAAAAGACAAAACAGTGACAAGAAGCAAAAATCCATGGCCTGCATTGTTTCCACTGTGACCCAGTTTTTAGAAGGCAGAGGAAGTTATAAGGGACAAACTCCAAATAGGTAGATGGTAACATTTTAATACTAGAAAATACCAAGTGGCTGTCTTGCTAAGCATCTGCCAGGAACGTTCTGGAATGGAGGCGTCTGTTGGCCTGTGGCCATTGGTGCAGACGGACAAGTGCGTTTGCAGAGGGGACGCTGAAAGGCAGCGTGGATTGTTGGGAGAGGTGGCCGGCAGGGCAGCTGGTGGCTTGTCACCTGTGCCTGGTGCCCTCTCCCTGCCCCGGGGCCCTGTGTTCCTCCACCCAGACTGTCGTCACTCTGTCCTAGGTGGCTGTTCCAGACGCAGCCGTCAGCCTACACCCCGCCTCGTTCTGCACCCGCCGCTCAGTGGAGGGCACGTGTGGCCCTGTGCCTGGTGGGGGCCGTTTCCCACGGCTCCGTTGGAGGGGACCCCCCCGTGTCCCCTGCAGCCTCTCTCTCGGCGCCTTTCAGGTTCGGCCCTGACAGAGCCTATGGTCTGTGTGTGAATGGCCTACTTTTCACATTTTAAGAGGTCGCCTGATCTCCTAAGAGCCGTTCAAATTTGGGCCTGTCCTGGACCTCACGTTCTACCTTCACAGTAAAATAAAAACTCGGAAAACATGTGATGGGAGTAACAGCCGTTCCCAAGTCAGGGCGCTCCAGCCCGGCCCCGCAGCACCCTGGGCTGGGCGGACACAGCGAGGGGGGGACCCGGGGGGCACCGGGAGAGGCCTCCGGCGTGTCTGATGGGCCCCTCTGCACCTGCTGGGCGTCCGTGGGTCTGTCCTTCCGCCGTAGGTCATCAGGTTCATCTGGTATGACTCTTAGGAGCTGGGGTACTGGCTATGTATAAAATTACTCCTTAAATAGTAGAATGACTTAAATGGGCACATTCAAAATATGTATTTCACAGTGAGCCTCGTTGAAGAGGTTTAAGTGAGTCTCAGTGTGGTTTTCTCATTTCACACGTGTGCAGCTGCCACAGATGTGCCAGTAACGTGTTTTAAAGGTGCCGGTGTGCAGGCAGAGGGCCCTGGTCTCTGCTGTCAAACCTGGTGCTGTGCCCGCCCCTGGGCAGGTGGGGGCTGGTCCCCGGTTTCCATGGTTACTGCAGGCACATGTGGTCATACCCCAGAAGGGCTGCTCAAGTCACCACGGGAAAACAATTATCTTTTGGGTTTTACCGAAGAAGGTGGGCTATTCCAAATTCAAATCATTTGTTTTTTGCTTTTTAATAAGAGCTTATTTAAAAAGTTTTAATAAAAGTTTATTTATGAGAGTAATAAAAATAGTTAAAATAAATCCAAAGACCACTTGCCATAGGCCAGGGACGACTCTGGGCCTTCACATGTGTTAACCCCGTGAGCCTCATGGTTCCCAAGTCACCGAAGCCACTGCGAGTCCGGCATCCTCATGGTCCCTTTGTCAAAGTGGGAAACCGGGTCACGGGCAGGCAAGGAGCAGGGCGAGATTAGGGCCCGTGCCGATGGGCTGCCAGGGCCAGTCCCTGACCTGCCCGTCCGCCTCTGGTCCTGTTGAGCCTCCTTGGTCCCACCGACTGGTCTACTCGCCCATGCACATGCAGACAGACAGCGGGAATAATGTGTCCATCTCACGTTCATTCGAATCTGGAGCCTTGACTCTAGACCCCGAGGCTGCCTCCAGGGGCCGGGGCAGGGGGCACACTCACTGCATACCTTGGGGGATGGTGTGCAGGGGCCGACCCCCAGGCTGGGGGCCCCAGGGCCTGGACCTGGAGTTTGGGGGTGGACCGCAGACTCCAGTGCTGTTGGAGGGGGGAGCCCCGAGGGCCACCGGTGGTGAAACCAGCCCACCACGGGTTGCCTGTAACTCTTGTCTAACTTTCCTTGGCACCTGCCATTTCAGTTTGATCGAAGGCAGCTCTGGTTTTGAAATCCTGGGTCCTAAGTGTCAGATAAATCCAGAGATCTTTTGCATATCAGTGCAACTTTTTGAAAGTGTATTAAGATTATGAGCTGATGGAATCACATTAACACCAAGAACCAAAAGAGACTTTTAAACACATTCTAGAGGCTCAAGCTCCACAGGTTCCTATTTCCCCAATATAATTCGGGCTCGAAGAGACTGCGTTCAGAAGAGACCCCGTCACGGTGGTTGGGTTGTGATCAGTAGCGGTAGTTTCACCTGTGTTCTTCCGACCCGCTTCTGCTGGCCTCGCCCCGCCTCCGACACAGGTGAGACAGTTCTGGGGCCGTCTCCGTGGCCTCCGCCCCCACGGGGCCTCGTGACGTGCGGTCAGCACGTTCGCTGCGCAGTTGCGCTCGCTGGCCGGCCCGGTGGGATCCCTGTCGTGTCCCCAGCCTTCGCGCAAGGACTTAGTGGCAGCCGCCTGGGCGTCGGGCTCTCTTCTCCCTTCAAGGCTGCAGGTCCACGTGCTGCTCCGTAAGTGGATGAAAACCTTATACTCGGGTCCGGGTAGCACCCCTACCAGGCCTTCCTCTCTGCCCCAGGGGTACGGGACCCAGTCCCAGGGTGGGGTGGTGGGGGCAGAGCCCCTGTGGGGGCGGGTCTCACACGCTGGGCGCCGTGGCCTGAGTTGAAACCAGGACTTTTAAGCCATGTGAAGAGGAAACATGAAATATCCTGGGTCTTAAATCTGGGCTTGGGCAGCTCCCGGCGCCCTGCCTCTGGGTCTGGGAGGTGAGCCCCCTCCCCCGATCTAACCGGGCAGACAGCCGTCAGCGGCTTAGCTGCCTCAGTAGCGTCTGCTGTGTGGTGTCTGCCGTCCACTGGAGCACATGGCACTCGGGGCCGGCACGTCAGCTACGAGTACGGGCTTTGCTTTTGTTGTCCTAGACACAGTGCGTGAGGGCGCGAGCTCATAAATAGCTATTTTGTAACCACCCCCCACAGCCTGCCGCGTCTCATTTAACTGCTTTTGATTTTCACCATGAAGAGCACCTGGGTGGGTCAGAAAGGTATTTGCAAAGCTCTGCCTTTTGAACACTGCTCGTCGGCCCACGCAGGTGCTCAGGTTTGAGGGGTCTCCGCTCCCAGCTGCCCCTCCAGCCCTGTTTGCAGGAAGAGCCGGGTCAGTTCTCACACATGTTAACATATGGCCCGTGGCCGGCAGTTAAAGGAGCAGCAGGTCTTTTATGCTGTTTGATGGTTCACTCCTGTCGTGAAACTTCCTGTCCCCCACCCTCAGGTGGTCCGGAGGGCTGGAGGGCGCGACTGCCGTGTGCACACGGCACTTGGTCTTGACAGCCTGCCCTCCACCCCCCTGCGGCTGCAGCGGGTGCCTCAGTCCCCAGGTCCCTGCACAGCTGGGTTTGGCTACGGGCTTTTGGGTGCCATGCTGATGGGACCACGTGAAAACTGAGCAGAGCAACCTGACCAGAGCGTCCAGCTGGCAGATGCCATGGGTGCCGGCCAGCATGACGCTGCAGAAAAAGGAAGGGTTAGGTCCTGATGGGGGCACATGCTGGGGGGGAGGGCTGGGGCTGTGGAACCAGAGCTGGAAAGGGGTCTTGTGGGGGGCGGTCAGTGCGGCGTCCTCATGGACGGATGGGGAGGCCTGCATGCCTACTGAGAGAGCCCAGGGGTCAGGCGGGGCGGAGCTTGGAGGAAATGGGGAGGGGGTTTGCTGGCACAGGTGATCCCCAGGCCACATGAGGGAGCGCCCACAGCTCGGTCAGGGAGGCCTGCCCACAGCAGCTGAGGGTGGGGTGCGCCCCGTGGTCTACGTGCGGTCGAGGGGGGCTGGCCTGGGGACCTGTGTGAGTCCTGGCAGCGAATGTATTTTGCTTACAGTGGCGGGTCCTATTTTGAGTGGGGCAGTGACAGGACCAGCCTTTTGGAAAGGTCGCCCTGAGGTCATGTCCGAGGGGGAGGGAAGGAGGCAGCTGCAGCCAGGCCGCTCGGACTGGGAGCCACGCCAGGTGGCCCTGGGTGGGCTGCCAGGGGCACTGATGGGGTTTGGACGTGGGGTGTCTGTATCAGGAGGTAAGTAACAGGAGATGCACCCCAAAGGACCTGGGGCCCCTAGGGGGCGCTGTGGGGCACGGGCTGTTCCCACGGACGTAAGGGGACGGGGGCCTGGGGGCAAGCCCGGCCCTCCTGTTTTCATACCCAGGGAAGAGGAAGAGATGAAGCAAACTTAATAACTTAAAAGCTTATTGCAAGTTCAGGGGACACTTTTAAATTTGTTTTCACTTTTCGTCCTGCGTGGACCAGAGGGTGTGTGGCATTGCCGCGTGGGAAGTGCCTTCGGTTTGGTTTATCATCCCTGGAACCCACACATTTCTTCAGGGGTTTCGTGTGCCTTGTAGACGAGTCAGTTAAGATAAATGGCTGGAAGGTACCACCGTGTTTTATTTGGCTCAGAAAAAACTACCTGCCTGAAATTGAACATCCTCCTTTCCTCTGGAAAAGGGGAACTCGGCCCACGCGGAAAACAACTTCCTTCTCAGGGAGCCACGGCCCCCTTTCTGCCTTTCTCCGACCCCTTCTCACCCTTCCAGGCCGGGCTGCTCGCACCTCGGCTGCGCCTTGGCTTCCAGAGCAAGCGGTGAAATGGGGGGGACTCCGCACTCTGGACGGGTTTATGGGCAGGTGGGTCACCCCGTGGGGAGTCAGACAGAAGTCCTGTGGGGGGTTACGTTGTTTCACTGGGCGCAGGTTTCCAAGGGCAGAGTCACACTGACTCGAGGGGCTGAACTGGGCCCAGTTCCACTGCAGTTGCCACCATGTCTTTGGTGGTCGCTGTTACTACTGGGTGAGGAACACTGAAGGTCTCGGCACCAAAGTT